TTGATCAATAAGAACAAATTAGCCGAACTAACGGAAAATGTTAGCATAAAACAAATTAGTCAATATGGTATTACAAAAGTGGACCAAACTATAATGATATTTTTTTTCATTAATCTTTTTTATTTACATCTAGAAATATTATATTGAAACAAATGGGATATTACACAGAAAATTAAGGTTAGTAGGGGATAAACCAATCCATCGCAACGACACGGAAACAAATCCGTCTAGAACTAAAAACCCAAACTAAAAATCCAAAAGAGGGAAACAGTTTCAAACGACTACCAAAACAAGGAAACCAAAATCGAAAAGTACAACTCAAAACCGAAACCTGGAGATAATTAATCGTACAACAAACCAAACTCGAACCACAAGGCTAAGGCGCATGATTTGAAGAAACACTACCACCACCACCCACAACGGATGAGGATAAATGGAAACTCACATCGGAAGAAGACAATGAAAAACAGGAAGCAAGAGATCACCAACAAGAAGAGCAAACCAACCCACCGAGGAGACTCCAAATGATATTCAACCATATGCACGAGGCAAAAAATTGATGTGCATCGCCAATTAGAGATTATTTGAAAAAACGGGAAGAAAAGGCACATCAATCTGCTGGGCGAAGGAAATAAGTCTCTATATCATCTCCTTCCACAAATAACAATCCACCAATAAACACTTGAACACAAAATAACATCACCTAAGGAACCGAAGATAGAGCAGCACCACTAAACAAAGCTCTAGGATGATTGCGAGGACCACATCAACAAGGTTCGACAAGCACACATAGCATACCAATAGTCAAAAAAGGCGTCAGCGACCAAACCTCATCAATCACCGTCAGATCAGCTCCAAGATACCAACCATCTTCTACGAAACACACCACCAACTTCATAAAGCTACAAAGTCCCATAAAGTAGAACTTGAGCCCAAACCCAACAATATAATGGAACAAAACAGCAGATCTAAGAGGAAGCACACACCACCAGAACAGAGCCAAGACGGCAGGCCGGCCTTGGAGACAGACCTAAGAAGCTTGGGATTTGGGCTCCTAAAATGTTTCAGTTTATTTATATTAAAAATATGCCCCCAAATGTTGTTTTTGCAAAAAAAAAATGCAAAGAAAAACCCAATTAAAAACATATCTATAAAATCCTTAAAACAAATATTTTGGCTTGGGACCTCCAAAATTTTAGTGCCGGCCGGCCTGCCAAAACCTCCTCACCTCTAATATCATTTTTTTTTCATTAATCATTATGGTATTGCAAACATGGACAAAACTATTAAATGGATCCATATGTTTAAAAACTTAGGGGGATGTATTTAAAGTGACAT